CTAACCCTCCCTCCCTCCCAGTGCCATCGCCTGCTCTGAGTGCAGCTCAGCTCAGCCACCTGCTCGGAAGAGCTTGGCGCCTCCCCAGACTTAGCCCAGAGCAGCAGCCTGCCCTCCCCTGCACATAGATCTGGGGGCATGTGCCCCGCATGTCCTCCTGGGGTGCATGCAGCAGCAGAAGCTGCTGCCTCCCCCCACCCCCATGTCCCCTGGTTGAGCTGTGAGACTGTCCAGTGCTCTGTCCTGCCTCAGCTGGGCAGCGTCCTGCCCCAACCCCATTCCCTCTCTCTCCCCTCCACCCCACCCCCACACGCTTCTCGGATGAGCTGTGGCTCCATTCCATGCCCTGCCTCATCTCAGCTGGGCAGCCTCTGCCCCAGCACCAGCCCCACTTCCTCCCTCACCACAGGGGCCTTGATCTGCCCCCGTTACGCCCGTTCCCTCCCCCAACAGACTTACCAGCCAGATGCGATGCTTCACACTGCGGGGCTACATATTGAAATTGGATTGGTATTGGCCAATATGGCACATTAAAAAAAAAAAAAAAATCAGTCATCAGTATTGCCCCAAAAAATCACCATCAGTGCACCCCTATCGGCTATATCAGTTCCTTTTTATTGCTTGCTTACCACCGGTGTCACTGTTTAATAATTTTTTTTTTTTCCTCTCTCAATAATTTTGGCCTGTTAGGTGAGTTAAGGCCTGTATTGCTCAGCCTACATTTGGAAGTTTTCAGAAACCTTCCAAACACAAATCCTTATCCAAAGGAGTATTTGAATTCTGTCTGAACTAGATTTCCATGTTTTTAACCTTGTCTTGCAACACTTACAGTGAAAGCAATTTGCTGTTTTGAATGAGAAGAGAAGTATCTTAGTGAACTTGAATTAGAATGTTTCTTGCATGCCAGACAAATGGACTGCTGATTGGTCTTTCATACTGTGGCAAAGTGGGTGTGCCTAGTTAGCCACAGGGCTAGTTCCCCACATGCCTCTGGGCACACCACCCACCTGTCTCACCCGCCATGCGTTGTTGGTAACTAATTAGGTTGTTAATTAAGGCTGGAGGCTGCCCATTGCACACCCTGATATTGAGGGGGCTGTCCACGGCTCTGTTCCACTCCTACACTGCGGCCCAAGCCTCGCAGATGGCATCTCAAGCAGCTGGCTCAACCGTCCCCTTCACCCACTAGCTGTGGCCCCCAGTCATGGGACCTCCAGCTTCCATAAGCTCTGGCCCCGTCTCAGGGCAGTTGGGACCCTGAGCTTCTTTGCTTATCATGGGCGTCCCTCACGGTGGGCCCCTGGCCCTTTTGACCCTTCCGGTTCTGGCCCCAGCACTGACCAGTCAAGTGCCTTGGGGTGGGTTTTTGCCTCCTGCCTACACTTAAGGATTGGGGTCCCCCATTCCTGGCTCACGCGCTCCTGGAAGTGTGCCCGGCCCTGCGGGGTCACTCCCCCAACAGGCTCAGATGTCTCCAGAAGCTTACTTGGCCTACCCTGCTGGGGTTAAGGCGCCCCTACTCGCCTTTCAACAGGGTGATCACTGGCCTAGCATTTCCTGGGGGCTCCTGCGCCACTGGGAGCCCCACCAGGCTACGCACTCCTGGCAGGGTGCAGTTTTAGGTCATGCCCAGGATCAGGAGCCTCCAAACCTTCCCCTACAGCTCCTGCCCTTACCTCCAGGATGTTCTAAGCAGCCTTGCAGCCAGGCAGTGTTACTGCCTGGCCTGCCTGCAGCAAACTGCCCGATTTATATAGGCAGTCATGGATCTAAAATGGCTGCCACAATTAAGTACCTGCTGGCTGCCTGGCTCAGCCCTTAAAGTGGCAGGCACCAACAGTGCCATGCCACACATACCAAGCCCTTCTGAAAATCTTTATTGTTGTTCTTGCCTATCTTGGGAAAATTTCATAGGAAGTGATCTCAGTTCAGCAACTGTGTAAATAGATCCAGGTCAGCTATGAGCAGCTGGATATCCAAATGCCAGAGCACTAAAACTGTTAGTGGTATAGTTCATTTTCTGAGACTTGAATTCAGTTTATGTATTTAATCTTATTAATTTAAAACTGGAGTAAAATCAGCTCATTTGGGGAAGGCGTTAAAGATTCCATGTCTACCTGAGGATTTCTACCTCTTGCTAATCTTATAACTACAATTTTGTTTATTTATCCTCATTCGTAACGTTCTTAGGAAAGTCATGCTGTATTGCAGGTTATGCCCTATAACTCATCTTGTGTTAGCAAGTTGGTGACCTGTCTCTCATTGCATTCTAGCAACATAACACATAATTATGAACTTTGGCCAAAAGTCTTAAATAGCTGTAAAACAGTGAGGGGATGATGGGCCTCTGGTTCCTATAAAACCAAGGTTGATTATAGGTAATATCTTAGAAAGGTGAAGTTCTCACTACATCTAATGATTCTAAACCATATCTCTCTCCTCACCTAGGATCGTGGTGGGTTAGATTCTTCAGTATTTGTTTTAAATTAAGTTACACGTTGGAAAATGAGAACAGGTCCTAATCCTGTAGTGTTAGAAAAGGGTAAAGGAGAAATAAGTCAGAAATTCAATTTTGAATTTTCATAGAATCATACAGTTAGAAGAGCCTCAAGAGCTATGTAGTCCAGTCCCCTGCACAATGTTCTTTGTTTTCTCCATTTGAGTCACGGTGGTGTTGGCACATTTGATGTACAAGAAAAAAGGATTAAGAAAATCCTAGCCCAGTTTCAAAGAAGCCAGCATGCCTTGAGATATGTACAGGAGGGAATAGATTCACCAAAGTTTAGGGCTGGAGGGGACCTCATGAGATCATTGGGTCCAGCCCCCCTGCTCTGGGCAGGAAAGACTCCTGGGGTCAAATAACCCCAGCAAGGTGTGAGTCCTTTTGAAGATCTCCAGGGTAGGTGCCTGTACCACCCCCACTGGGAGTCTATTCCAGAGTCTCGTCACATGAACCATGAAGAAGTTTTTCCTTTAGTGTTTTTAATTTATTATGAATATAAGCTATAATATTCTTTGTATGTTGGTCAAAATATTGAATTGGAAGCAGACCATTTTATTCACTTTCTTAGCAATCATTGTATGGACTGACAACACTTTTCCATTAATCGATTAGTAAACACTGTATGTATATAATTATATATACATTCTTTTACTACTTTTTTTAAGGTGTGATGACAGCAGACAATCAAGAGGTGAAAATCAGGATGTTGAGGTAAATAGCTGAATCAAAAGATTTGTTTCTTAAAGGGTTTGTTTTTAAATCCTTTCTTTATGATGGGTAAGAATGTTTAAAACCTACAGTCTTACATATGCAGTATTAGAAAGCTATCATAATCTCTCATAAAAAAAAAAAAAATGTTCCGTGTTTTGAGGGGTTGCACAGTTTCCATTAGAACATTTTATATGTAGTATTTATGAACCCCTATATAGGTAACAGTAAGTGTATACTGTACAACTAAAGCTATGTAACACAATTGTTTCATTGTAATTACATGATAATAGAAATAAGAGATTCAGAGTCTTTTTAAATCTGTTTTATAGGGTAAACAGCAAGAGGCTAATGATGCAAATTCTGAAGGGTTCACTAGCCAGGATGAACTACTCGGATTTTTGGTAGGTGTTATAGTATGTTGTGAGTCTAGATTCCTAGAAAACTTTATTTTGCAAATCTAATATTTAAGACTAAAATTTTAAAACAAAACTAGGTAATTCATTTATAAAACACTGGCAATTTGAGATGAGCTAAAAAAACCTTTGGGTATGTTGGTTCCATCTTCAGCAAAACACTGCCTTGTGACTAAGAAAAAACAAAATGGGTCTTCATCTGAACAAACACCCAACTTCTCCA